CCCTAAACCCTAAGCCCTAGACCTGGGGGCCTTAGGACTCTTCAGCCCCCTGGGGTTGAAGGTTTAAGGGTTTAGGGTTTGCAGGGTTTAGGGTTGAAGGGTTTGCAGGGTTTAGGGTTGAAGGGTTTGCGGGGTTTAGGGTTGAAGGGTTTGCAGGGTTTAGGGTTGAAGGGTTTGCAGGGTTTAGGGTTGAAGGGTTTGCAGGGTTTAGGGTTGAAGGGTTTAGGGTTTAGGGTTGAAGGGTTTAGGGTTTTCAGGGTTCAAGGGTTTAGGGTTGAAGGGTTTAAGGTTTTCAGGGTTTCAGGGTTTAAGGGTTTAAGGTTTTGAGGGTTTCAGGGTTTAGGGTTTCAGGTTTTAAGGTTTTAGGGTTTCAGGGTTTCAGGGTTTAGGGTTTAAGGGTTTAAGGTTTTCAGGGTTTCAGGGTTTAGGGTTTCAGGGTTTACGGTTGAAGGTTTTAGGGTTGAAGGGTTTAAGGGTCGAGGGTTTGAGGGTGTAAGGGTTCAGGGTTTACAGGGTCATGGGTGTATGGGACTAGGGTTTGTGGGTGTACGGGTTTAGGGCTTAAAGGTTTAAGGGTTTAGGGCAAGTTTAGGGTTAAAGGATTTAAGGTTTACGGTTCAGAGTTTGAAGGGCTTAGGTTTCCGGGGAATCTAGGCAAGACCAAGAGTTGTGTTTCAGACTTCGCATTCACCGGTTTAGGATAAACATTTTACGGGTTGAGGGCTTTTACATGTCCTAAACCCGCTTGCGCCACCAGAAGAAGACTGAACTTTCTTGTGATGGGAGGCCAAAAGGGGGGTTTAAGATTCTTTGGGGGTAGGGATTCCTTAATATGAACCCCACTATGGGAACCCTAATCCCTACTAAACCCCCATAGGCTGAAACCCCTTTTGGCCTCCTATGATCTTGGGGCCTCCATGCGGTACCAAGTGAAGTCGCCGAATTCGACCCAGAAGGCCTTTTCGCGCGTTGGGGTGTTTGAGGGTATGGGGTTCAACCCCAAACCCTAAACCCCTAAAGCCCTAGACCCTACCCAGAGGCCCCAAAGTAGTTCCTTTTTGGGACTACCTTACAATATTCTATATATGAACCTTCAAAAAAGGAACTACTTTCGGGCCTATGGGTAGACCCTAGGGTTTGATGTCAGGTGTTGGACACTTCGGCATTACATTCACGGCGCAGCTCCGTGTCTGACACGGGCTCACTTGGAGGGTCAGAGGACTTGGGAAGTCGGTTTTAAGTAGGGTTATATAGTGCTCCTTGAAGGGATCTATACTATAGGGCTCCTTTAAGGGACGTATGCGGTTTAGGGTATAAGTACGTAGGGTTATAATAAAGGTATCTCCATCTATAACCTGCTTACTAAGTCCCCTGATCCTGTAAGCAGCAAGCTAAACTGCCAGCCCAGAAAGCCTGGCTAGACAGACCATGAAAGCCGATGACGCGAGCTTTTACCAGGCTGTTCAGTAACCCACTGGGAAAAAGTATATACTTGATTCGGCTTCGTATTTTATCATAGGAACCCAGAAACCTGAAAGTAAAAAAATGCACCACTGAACGGCCTGGTTTTCAAAAACCTATCAAAGCCCTTAGCTCTTCAGGCAGGCAAATGCGAGGTATGCACTAACTTGTACGCACTATGCACAAACTTCAGCTCGAGGTGTAGGGTGTGGGGTTTAGGATTGCGAGTGGGACCTATCTAGCATAAATAGTCCCTAGACTCCTAGACCCAATATCCTAAACAAAATCTGAAACCGCAAACCCTAAACCCTAAACTTAAACCCTAGACACCGTCTGCATTTACAGGGATGTAATGTCTTTTGTTTCAAGTCTTTAGGCTTCAAGGTCCAGGGGCGTTTAGGGTTTAGGCTACAGAGTTTAGCGACTCATGGGTCTGATCCACAGCGGCTTGCACCTGGCATTGAGCTCACATGCCAGCACGCTTAGAGACCGAAATAAACCCAGAACCTACAGCCCGAAATCCTAAACCTGTCGTACGTCGTATGCCTATCAACTCCCAAATAGACCCTAAACCATGAATAAGCCTCTACACACCATTAAACTCTGTACCCGCTACAACTTGGAAAGCCCGTAAAACCACGAAGCCTGAAACCCAGGTAAATCTCAAGTATAGGGGCCGGAAAACCAGAAAATTGCTTTGCACTTTGTTATCAATGGTACTGTATAGGACTGGAAGAAGAAAATACTATTCCTGAATCTTCAGACCTCTGTGTTGCAACCTCAGCCCCAAACTCCAAACCCTGAACCCCAAACCCTAAACTCGCTCGGAGCTCAGCCTTTGGATGCTTCTTGAGGTACATCCTGAGCTTGGATGTCGGGGGTTTCTAATTGAACTCGGTTTAGAGGGTTTAGGGGGTTCGAGTTTGGGCTGTAGGGTGCGGCTGGGCTTCGAAATTCTTGCGATCTTTTTGCAATTCTTTAGGTCTTAGGGGTTTAGGGGTCCTAGGTATTTAGGTCATAGGATTCAAAACGATTTCGGGCACGCTCGCGGCCCAGAGAATTGAAAGTTCCAGAAAGCAGGGTTTTCGGAGGCGAAGTGTTGGGGCTCTTCGGCTTTAAACGGTTTAGGATTTAGGGTTAAGGCCTTCCGGTGCACGTAACGGTGTCGGTCACACTATAGTAGTTTGGAGTACTGGGCATAGAATGGCTTAGAGTCGTTGGTGGGATTTACTCTCTGGATTTCGTTTGCGGTTCGGCAAGGCGACTTAGGGCATCAAGTTCCTTGGCCAATGGGACGAAGCCGTGTCATAAACCCCAAACCCTAAACTGCCCTAAGCCCCCAAAACCCTAAGCCCTAAACACACCCTGTTAAGATCCCTCTTAAGGAACCCATTGCAGGATCCCTTTCCCATTCAGGAGCCCTTAAAGGAACCCTTGAAGGAGCCATGGTGGAGGATCTGGCGGTACGACAAGACAAATGCAGTCCGGCCACTGCAAAGCTACAACCCTACACCCTAGACCCCAAACCCTATTCACGCACCCTAAACCCATAAACCCCAGAGCCTAAACCCGAAACCAAACCCACAATCCCTGAAGCCGAAAGCACTTCTCTCTGCTTCAACAACCGGGCCCCCAAAAGTTCAAACTTTCTAGGATAGAGCTAATATAAAAGGCCAAGAAGTTTAAAGTCTCCCCGTTCCCTATCTAAGACTTCATCAACATTAAACCCAAAGCAAAACCAGCAGTGCCTCTCAGAGCCCTCGGCCCAAAAACCACCCAGCCCACATGGAATACCATGAAAGTCGCAACCACAGCCCGCGACATTGCGGAAACCTGAGGTTTGGGCGTATTTTTGGGGGGTTCGGATGATCAACACCAAGTTTGGGCGTATTTTGAGGGTTTCTGATCAACGCCAAGGGTCGCTTTCGCCTCCGCGATCTCTTCCTCCGACTCAATCGGAACTGCCTAGCCAGAGCTCCACAGTTATATCTTTACCCAAAGGCCCCAAAGTAGTTCCTTTTTGGGAGTACCTTATAGGATTCTAAGTATGAACCCCAAAAAGGAACTACTTTGGGGCCTATGGGTAGTTCCTTCGAGAAATGTTCAATACGATGCATTATCTTCCCGAACATGATGATAACAGAAGATATCCCAACCCCTAGTGCAATTCTTGAGGCATCTATAGTTTGTTGTGACAGTCTGGGGACCTGTCACAAAAAAGGTTCCTTTTTCCAATAGCTGCGTACATGTGGCTCTATGTAGCTCTCTATAAGGCCCGAAGGTTAAGGGCCCATAAGTGTGAGCTACACAAAGCTCTTCCAACAAGGTTCTTAAAGGATTGTCATATGGGTCTCTCGGAGATTACTTGGAGGGTCGGGGGACTTAGTAAGTAGGTAGTAAGTAGACTTATAAGTACCCTAAAAGGGACCCTAATTGGGGTTATGGTACATATAAGTCCCTAAAATAACCAGTTACTAAGTCCCCCGACCCTCCAAGTAGAGGTATTTGATCTGTGCATGGTGCTCCATGGTCCTACCCGTACTGACCGGCTTTGTCGTGCAAGGCACATGAAATGCAAGAGCTTAGGGTTGTCGCTTCGCATGATTCCTGGTTTCCGCGCTGAAATCAAATTTAGAGGTTGGTATAGATCATACAAAACAGCTAATGTCCAATATCCGATATCTGCGGGGCGTGACCACATAGTATGTTAATTTACTATACACGCATACATACACATACGTAGTTACATACGTTTTATATTATACGTATGTAAGAAGATATGTGTGCACGTATGCATGTGCATATATGTGTGTGCACGTATGCATGTGCACATATGTATATATAAACACACATATATATATATATATGTAATTATTGAAGTATAAAAATAAATATAACTAATATATATATATATATATATATATAGAGAGAGAGAGAGAGAGAGAGAGAGAGAGAGACGCGTATCTTCTCTTTATGCATACAGCGCTGGTACTGTGTGATGTGCGCCCCGTCCTGGACGGTCAGCTCTCTCAACGAAGCAGCGACTTGAACTATTTTCTACAAGGAGAGTCATACAAAAGTTTCTTGAGCCTGCGGGTCCAAACACACTTGAAAGGCCTCCAAGTTTAGGGTTTCCGTTTAGGGTTTCGGGTTAAGCGTCCCTTGGCCCTAAACCCTCAACCCAAATGCCCGTAAGCCTCAACCACTGCTTCGGACGTTCTGAATACATCAACCTGAAGCTTTAGCCCACCTTACACGCCAAACCCTCGACCTAAAATCCTGAAATTGCGGGCTACTGTTCCCTAAACCCTTTATAAACCTTCTGTATAAAGCTTCAAGTTTGAAGTGCCCACACCTAAGTAATTAGCATACTCTGCAGCTACCCTGGCTCTTACTGCAGGGCTATATATGGGTAGTTGTCAAAATTATGGCCCCTTTTTGGGTACCCAAAATAATAGCAGCCGTACTATACTAGGGACCCAAAAAGGGACCATAATTTTGACAACCACCCATATAATACAGGGGCCTTAACAATTAGAATAGCGAAATCGGGTTTTGCGGTATATTATGCTATACGTATACCAAGGAGCCCCCAATATAGGTAAATTACCAAGGCCCCTGTATTACGTCGAGAAACCTCGCCGATGAGGTTCACACGCCCATCGGCAGCGCCCTGCAGAAAGCTCAAGGTGAAACTGCCAGGTGGCAGCTAGGGGTTTAGGGGTTTAGGGTTTAGGGGTCTAGGGTCCATGGTTTGGGGTTTAGGTTTGATTTGGGTTTTTCTGGGTTCCCTGTTTGGTGTTTAGGTTGTCTCTTTGTTTTGGGTGTTTGGGTTCCGGGTTGGGTGCTTGGCGGTATGGTGTCGTACTTTCGGTGTCTTTTGATGAAAGCTTCAGGGAGGTTTTACATTGCTGCTCACACGGGTTGGCCGACTTCAATTACATGGGATCCGCAACCACAGATCTTCAACTCAACTCGTTTGTTAAGGAACATTCCTCTTGCAGTGGTTTTACAGTCGGGTTTACGGGTCGGCGCTTGGAATAGTTTTAGGCATATGGCGTCACAAGAACGCTGTTGACGCCGTTGTGCCAGCCACCATGCCGGATGTCGCTCACGACTGCCAAAAGCAGGCTCACTTGTCAGCTCGTCACCGCTGCCCGTCGCTGTCCTTGAAGCGATGCTGAGAGCCGAGGCCGCATTGCACGATGCCGATCGCCACGAACATTCTACAGGCCGCAGTGGAAGGCATGGTCGCTTTGATGCTGTCTTCTGTCTCCAGGGTCTACGAATGAGGGCATAGAGCCCTTGAGCTTCAAACCCAGCCACAGAGCCCTCACCTAAACATCAATCCTAGAATATTTGAAAGTCTGTACAGTTTTGTCGGAATACTTGGGGCTTGAGGTTTTGGTCTTAGGTCTAGAGATAGCTTCAAGTGGAGTATACTTCCTGCTGAACAACACGGGACCGGCAACGGGGATGACAAGTTGGGGTTCCAACATTGGTTTACCTGCAGTCTCGATCTGTTGTGTTTTTGGTTTAACCAAATATATAATGAGGATCTATAGCCTCAAAAGGGAGCTGCAATGGAGACTATAGGTAGGCCACGAGAAGCTCTGAATCGAATGGAATTCGCAAGCTGGCGCTCAGCCTTGAATTCTTTGGCAGCCACCGTCAAAGAGCAGCGCTTGTCCTTCATCAAGTCCTGGGCTTTTGAGTAACCAGGGAGGAAAAAGTATAAACTGGTATTTCATAATGGACCCTAAACCCTAAACCCTAAACCAGTTCCTTTAAGGAAGAGGTATTAAAGTATGGTACTCCAAAGCTGAGAGTCCTGGCGTTCGGGTTGGTGTTAAGGATGGAACTGGACTTCGGATTTAAGCTGCAGTGTGGAGCCTTGGTTGTCGAAGTACAGATGCTATGGGAGTTTCCGAAAATAGGGGCCCTAATAGTACCCCAAATAGTAGGATCCTTATTATAAGGACCCCAAAACACGGTACCCCTAATTTTCGGACACTCCCAAAATGCAGATATTGTGACGCTACTACTGGTACCAGTACTAGAGTAGTACGGGCGCTGACATTGCTACTTACTCCCAACACCACCAACGCCACCACCACTGCTACGACGACGAGCATCACCACCACAACGACTGCTACTAACACAACCATCGTTGATTGCTTCACGACATAGACTGCCGTAAAGATCAATGTAAAGCGAATACTGAGTCCGGAAATTGAAGCTTTCTCATAAACCCAGCTATAGCCCTAGACCCCCCGCACAACCCTGAAACGTATACAGAGTGCATTCAAGGGTAGGCATTGGCGCGCTAGCTTGCCCCATAGGGCCGCCCAACCAAATTCACAACTAACACTAACCGAATTAGCCCCTGGCACGAAAACCCCGAAATACAAACTGCGCGCGCAACCCTGGATCACACCTTAAAGGTCAAGGAAGGGTTGACATCTGTGAGTTTTCGGGCTCGGATAAATGCCCTCATCACCCATCTCCCACCGACACAATCCCGCCTGCGTGTGCGACGACATGGAGCTGAAGCTGAACCTGAAAACCGCAGGATGTGTAGAGCTGACAAACGCAAGTCTCAAGAACGCAAGGTTCGGGCATTGGGTTGAAGAAGAGAAAACTGTGCTTGGGTTCCCAGTAGCCCCTGAATAATGAGGGTATCCGTTTTTCTACTGTTTGGTTTTAATAGGGGAACCCAACACGAAAAAAGGCAAAAGGTACGGCTGGGAAACCTAGTCATCATTCCCAATGCGGAAACCCTAAACCCTAAACCAAACAGTTATGCGCAGGTTGAAGGGTGCTCCGGGAAGCTTTATGCCCGCGTGCGGGCTTCGGCCCAGAGCTTTAGGTGTATAGGGTTGAGGGTTTAAACATTCAGAGTCCCGGGTTAAAAAACCAGGGTTTAGGGTCTAAGAAGTAATGTTTAGGGACTGAGGGTTTAGGGTTTATAGGGCTTACAAGAAAGCCCTAGACCATGAACCCTCAATATTAAAACCCTCAACAACTGGGTTGTAGTTT